TGGCCGGTTGTAGATCGGGAGTATATATTATTTGTTTGTGCACAAACAAATAGTAGTTTTTTTAATTATGAATCACGGACGTTCGCGACCAGAGGTATGACACAAGAAGATGAAAACACTGACAGGCCAAAATGAAGGAAAGGGTATAATCAGAAGAAGGGGCAGTCTACCTTACACAGCTCGGCCACATCGGTAATAGATGCCGGAGCCGCGGAGACGGCGTTAAAGAAACTCGCTGTATTTTTGGTTTCAAGCAATACTTCTTCCTAAAATGAAAAAAAACAAACTCAGTTTCAATCACATAATAGACACTCAGGTACCCAAACTACCACACACGCACAATAAACGGAGTTCTGATTTCTAGAAGTCACGGAAATGACCTAGTCCAAAAATAACTGCAGTTCAGTATAAAAATTCTAACTAACAAATTTTTGAAGCGTTGTTTTTCTGGAACAAAATTTTAACAAAGCAAAGACAATGAAGTTTGCAGAATTTAATGACGTTATACAATAACCGTATGCAGTTGAATAAGAATTCAAGTCATTTAATTCTGCAAACCTCGTTGAATTTTCGTTGTTCAAACAATGTTTTTTATTGATAAGCAGGTGATTAAGGTATAACGCCCAATTCACTTCCGAAGGATATTAAAAACTTTTTCATAACGGCGACACAATCGAGCAAGTACTCGACTCAGGCAGACATCAAAGGCCTTATTTACGATGGGTAAATCGAATAACTGGCATTACTAGGCCAAGGTAAGGACACGAAGACGTACATTTAGTTTTAGTATCGCCAAAGCCACGCGGAAGAGCACCGTTGAGCCTTCATAGAAGAGTAAGTCCCAGACCCGAAGCATGATGCGCATTGACAAAACACCAGAGAACAGGGTCAAGAACCAGCCGAGAGTAATGAGGGCCAGGTCTACATTGTGGAAAAGAAAACATAATAAAACCAACAGAAAAAAAGAAAGAGCTTGAGTTTCTGAAAGGGGATTTTCTTTCGAAATCACGAAAACCTAGCCAAAAGCCATAGGCTAACGACATAAGGACATTTCTGATTGGTTCGATTTTAGTCCAATCTGAGATATTATGCTCTGTTCCTTGTTCATTTTAAATAGGTTGTCAGCATACGACGGCAACAGAAGCTTATGTAGGCCCACACATTAATCCATACTCCCTGCATGTTTTCCTATGAAAACGGTGGTTAAAGGGTTTTATGGGTGGGGAATTAGGATACGCGATGGAATATACTTTAATAAATGCTAAATACATTTTTATTTTACCGTATTCAGAAGTGTTGTTGATTTGCATCTGCAGATTTTCCTAATCTGTATTATCGTTTAACTTATTGCGGAAAAAGCCGATTATCAAACTGCAGGCTTCTTGAATTTCCCGAAAAATTGAAATGGTGTTTAGGAGGTCGTCTACTTCAACTTACCTGAGGTCCAACTTACTATTCGGGGGTTTGATAAGCATTGTCCGCTGCTCGAAGCGCAGCGCACACCTTCAATTTACATGCGGAACAATTTGCTCCCAGCGGCCGCGGGAAGCAGCTTTGACTACATTTTTTTCACCTTACACTTTCTTCTAAAAATTTCCTTCTCTGCCTATCCTATTTCCCCACTCCCTCACTCACCGTTTTTGCAGGACAAAATGCTCGGAATATGGGTAAATGAGTGGGCCTACATAAGCTACTTTTGCCCATACGACAATAAATTTCACTCCCTGTGCAATTGCTGTCAAGATATCACTAAGAGGTTCCACTGAAGCGTTGTTATAGGGGCGACTATTGAGGCTAGTGGCAAGATCATAGCAAAGGGTGTTTATACTGGTGGTTGTTGTTGTCTTGACTGATGATGAGGATGATGGTGGTAGTGGTGACGGTTCCAGCAGTAGCAGTATTAATAGTAATACTAGTAGTAATAGGTATTGATACTACTTATTGAACGTTCACCGACCGCTAAGGGAACTCAATTGTCCCGCTCTGCATTCGCCTTGGGCCTCATTTCTCGGGCTCTGACAGCAGCTGTAGCAGGTAGTAGTATCGGCAGAAAATATTATCGGCAAAGACAAGGGAGACTGATATGCGGCAATTTCTGGCTTATTGGCCGTCGTCAGCCAGTCATACCCAGACCCAAGTGGTGCACCACCCAAGCCTCGAACTCGCGACCTTTTGTGATCAGAGTCTAACGCCCTAACCATCGCGTTAAGCCGCAATATTCCGCTTTCGGGAAGACGAAAGTTCAAGGCGAATTGATTGGTTAGATAGGATAGGACAGTCAGAAAGATTATCAAAAAGTCGGAAAAGGTACGGAGTTAGTCGACGCTTCATGCATCTCAGAACCTAGCGAACGGCAATACGCATATTCGGATACTTGATGGAGCTCAGAGAAACGCAGACTTCGAACAATGAGCAAGAAAGAAAGGAAGGAAGGATGGGGAGGAGTTGGCCTACCGACTTCGTGCTCCTGAATGATGCCTTCAAGGCGGGGCATAAAGACAGAGATGAGTTCACCGAGGACGCGCTGGTCGGCCTGCACACCCATCAGACTGTCCGCAGAGAAGTAGGAGGGCGGCAGGATGTCCTCAATTATGGAGCACATCATCCAGAAGGCGGCTTCTTCCTCCATGAAGAGGAGCAGATTTGCTGCAATCTGAAAGGGCACAAACACCAGAGCCGGTCATCAATCACGAACGGGAGTAATTCAGTTGCTTAACCCAGATCCTGGGTCACAGGGGGATTATGATACGCCGGACCACCTCAAGCGGCCTTCCAAGACCTGCTCTGGTAGAAACTGTAGGGTCAGATGTGAGTGCATTAAACA